TTGAAAAATTATTGAGATCAGCGAATGTAAAATGTTTAAAGCGTGGATCGAGAATGCAGGCTAACAAATAAAATTTATTTGTGAATGGCTTGGTGAACCATTTTTCTAACTGAGTTTTCATAGATGTCAAGAAAGCCATGAGCTTGAGGAGACACCTAATCACGGCGAATATATAACTTTGGGTATCAGATGACGAAAATCATTTTATTCAACAAAATCTGAGATGCTATTTGACTACTTTAGCAGTATTTCAATTGAAGATAATATATCGAAGAAGATTGTTCATCAATAGGGGTGGCACATTTTCTTTACTGATGCGTTACTTTACTGAGTAAAGCAACGCCTTCAAATATCACCGTATGAGTGGCGAACAACCGAAAATGTATTGTTTTATCACCTTCCGGACACAATGCGACTAAAGCGTTACTATATTATGCGTTACTGGTAACGAGTAACGCATGCGTTATTGCGTTACTGCGTTACTAGAAAAGTAACGCAAAAAAGCGTTAAAGTAACGCAAATAACGCTGCGTTACTCGTTACAAAAGCTATGAAAAATAAACGCATCTCGTTAGTAGTTACTAGTACGAACTGTTAGTAATTCATTCATGAAAACACGTTCAAGTCAGGCATGTAGATTACAAAAAGATTGCAGATGTAGTTGCAGAGATTATATGATTATTGAAAGTGCCACATATCTTTCGCTATACGCGACAGTGATATGTATTTTTTCGTTGTGTGAATATCGAAGGAGCTCACTAAGAATATTTTCATGTGTTCTGTTCGTCCTTCCCAAAGTCATGCGTAATTTTTTGAATATTTAGAATTGAACGATGCTAAATGGATTGCAGTGACGATTGATATGTGGTCATCCGATCCCAAATTGAATTTCATCACAATAACAGCCCATTATACTGATGAACAATTTGTTGTACAGCATTCGGTTTTGGAAACATTGGATTTTGTCGGCGAGCACTGCAATGACAATATTCCTGAACGTATTAAAGATGCCCTGGTTCGATGGGATATGCTATCCTCCATCATCTGTGTTGTGACTGATAATACGCATACAATGCTCAAAGTTGGACGTAAATTGGGACTCGACAGCTGTGTTTGTTTTTCTGATTTTCTTCAAACCGTTGTGAAAGTTTGCACCGATGAACCGAATATTGCAGCTCAATTGTTAAACGTTGAAAAGACTGTCTCTCATATCAGAATTTCTCAGCAGTCGAGTGATGATTTACACGCAGCTCAAAAGAAACTCTCTTTAACACCACATGATCTCGTACACGACGCACAAACTTATTGGCACAGTAGCTTTTATACGCTCCAGCGATTTGTTCGTGAGGAACAACCTTTGTCATTATTGTTTGTCAACCAGGATTTCTTAAATCGTCTGAAATCTACAAGTATCGTCACCGGTACGTATCTAAAGTCAAAGATAACAATGAATTTCATACTACTATACAATGGTTTTTTTCTACAACAGGCATTGATTTTCAAGTATTGAAATTATTATTAAAACTGTTAGAACCTCTTGAAGAGCTTACGCGTGAAGTATCATCAGCTACAACTGTGACCCTCTCGTTGGTTTTGCCATTCTTAGTGGAAATTATGAACTTATTAGAACCGGATTCGTCGGTCCTTGATAAAATGAAAACATCTATGAAAACTCAGTTAGAAAAATGGTTCACCAAGCCATTCACAAATAAATTTTATTTGTTAGCCTGCATTCTCGATCCACGCTTTAAACATTTTACATTCGCTGATCTCAATAATTTTTCAA